GCAACGAAAGTTTTGCAAATGCAATCATATTTTCACCATACAGTCGCCCTTTGAGACTTAAGACAGGTTAAAAACTACATACAAAATGTACTAGAACAATTTTTAGCATGCTTAAAAATAAGCAATGATAATGTACTCAAAATTCAGTCTGGAAAGGCATAAATGGTAGCACAAATCACATAATGAATTTAAAGTTTACCGTGTGCGCTGTACATGTACATTTACTGCACACATATCGCGTTAACACACACACTCTGCATGGGGTAGTGGTGCAAGTTAGTGCTGGTTGGTTCCTGATCTTAACATACCGGTACATGTACATTGGTGTTGCACTGTATACAGACACCAGGGCTGCTTTATAAACCACATCTTGGGCTCAACTGTACTTTTTGCTGTTTTTGCGGCAACGTAAATGAAACCTAAAACAGAGTTCACTCCGAAATTAAAAGGTGTCGCTCTGAACAAGAGTATCAGAAATAGAGCAACTCATGCAGCCGGGTGTCCCGCAACACGCTGAAACTATGGTTGAACCCCTTGGCAAGAACCCTGATGTTGACCTCATCGGCACTCGTATACATACATGTACATGCATATTGTGTGGTGTATGTACGTCGGACTGGGTTATGATTCTACGGTTATGGATGGAGGATGTACAGGTACATGTACATGTAAACATGGGTACATGTACCGGTAATTACACAGGTCAGGTGTAAGAGGGACACAAAAACGGACCCTGAATTTATAGAAAGACCTAAATGAAAAACTTCAAGACTACAGTTTACGTACCAGTACCATAACAATGGTATAACAAGCAAATGCTAAATATGTACCAGTACATCTACAAATAACTCTGTGAGGTGCAGCATCTAAAAATGAAAGTGATAGCCTGTAACTGTAAACTAAACATGTCATCATGTGGAATAAATGACTAGTCTAACTATTGAGAAAAGACAGAGAACTGAAACTTACATGTACATACATACATTTACAAATGTACACGCAAGTAACAACAGATACATGTACATGTACATGTACCAGTATGGTACCAGTACGAGTATACATGTACATGAAGTACCAGTATATGCAGCATATGTACATTACATGTAAGTCCAATAAACCATTTCAAATTTCCATTTTACAAAGTTCAATAAATTTTCTGTAATTCAAGAACAGTATGCCGTACGTGTACAATATGATCTTTTTAATTAATTTTTTCAGAATTGCTCAGAGCTGAGTATTGGGATTAAAACAGCCAAATCAATAAAAAGAAAGTGATGATATGCTTAAGGAATCAATACCACATAATAATAGCATCTTATTTGTATAAGCAGAAGTCTACCTACATGTAGCTGGGCCATGAAGAGGAAATTAACGTTATCGATGAGACTGGCATGACTGGGGACCAGGCAACCCTGCAAATGAAGTTTAGATGACTTCTATTGCAAAGGCCTGCTCATAGTGCATGGATAGACAGGAAATTGCTAAGATTTGAATTCGCCAGCCGACAGTTAGTAAAACAATGAGGCTCCTTTATGCCAGTACTTGAATTTTGTTCCTGGGATAGTTATGGATGGTTACAAAGAACTGAGTGAATTTAACAAATTACATGTACATGTACTTAGAAAACAGTTTTTCAATTAAGTTTTGAAAAAATTACCAGTCGTCTATAAAATGGTTGAATGCAGTTTAGGAATTTTTATTTTTAAATTCAACAACATGAGTATGACAAATCACAAATGGCATGCAAATTCACTTGCAAAAATGGTGTGCACTGAACTACATGTACATTTACTTTTTATTCCCAGCAACCATTCTAGCATATCACTTTGTAAGGCATTCATCATGATCATGCCTAGCCAGACACCAAACAATGACTATGCCAGAACTGATCACACTCAAAAAGAAATGGAAGGCTAATCTGATTTTGGTCTGGTTATTAAAATCCTAGGCTTGCCGTCTAATTTATTTTCCTCTTGCTCATATTAAAAAGCAAGGCAGCCTAATCAATCATCCCCAAGACTTAATAACTGAATTTCCTCCTGGGCTGATGTGCAAACAGCCCGATCAAGGAAAAAGGGAGTGGTTGAGGGACATATAATGTCCAGTAATAAGTACAAAATTCACTGCAAAATGGGCATTTTGGATTTCAGTGTGGTCTAGTCATCATGTGCCCACATGTGTATTTACCTGTACATGAACATGTACATACCGGTACACTGTATGTTGTACAATAGAGGCAATAATCTACCTGTACATGTACAAGGGAAGCCATGTCAAACATGTTAATTACATATTAGGTACATGTACATGTGCATACAGTACAATGCACGTGCTCTGTCATACAATGTGCATACATGTACATGTACAATGTACATGTACATGTAGGTACATACGTATACATGTGTTACTGGATAATAATTGTCCTAACACTTGGGCCCAACTATGTAAAAACATGTACATGTACATCAACCACACACAGGTGTCATACGTACATTACATGTACATGTACTGGAAGTAATTGACCACCGTCGCCCATAAAAAGACTCCATACCTGTACATGTACATCCTCATGTACCGGTAACAAACTAACATACTACACATGAGAAGGGTGTAATTCACAGCACTGTTTAATACATGTAAAGGTACATGTAGTTAGCACAAAACCCATCATGCACGAGGCCGTTGATGAATGGAGTGAATTTACAGCGTGTTCGCATAGAGAAAACATTTCTTATGTACTTAACTCACATGTACAGTGCGGTACTGTAACGGTCAAAGATTTTTAGCTGCATTTGCTAAAGTTTAAGTTGTTTTGGATTTGGAATGTGCACATGTAAATGTGCCACTTCTTCTACATGTACATTTCACCGTGAGGATTTGACTGAACCATGAAAATCACACTTCACACAATCAACTTTGTCATCATCATGACTAACATGAAACCACCAAGACTTACATGACCCAGGAGGTCCGAGGGTACATGTATGCCTCACCATGGTACATGTACGTGTGTGTAACATCACATTTTGGGAATCAGTATATTCAGTGATGCAGTCTTTTCATGAAACCATTGTTCACATGACTATTTTATGCATGGTGAATACAAACCCCTGTGTTCGTACATGCAACTTTTAAACATGCCCAAGCAATAAGCGTTTTGCACTTTGCAGGTTAAATTTGCATAAAAGTCTGGTACAATGAGTTAAATCTGATTGCTATTTAACATAACAATTTGAATTTAGCAGACAAAACACACTGACAATGTACACATGTACAAGTACATGTACAATTTTTATGTACATGTATGTACACGTAACTCTTGACTGTCAGTGTCACTGCTCACATTTTTTTCAATGAATTCTCAGTGTTTTATTGTTGAAAGCAGCAACCTCCAAGCAACATTTAGACTACTCTTGGCAATTGAAGAATGCACTTTTTAAAGAGAGGATGAGCACTTGTTCATCATCATTCCCCAGACACAAGTAGACCATGCATGTACCCGTACACTGATCATTCACTCAGTACAAGACTTTGTGCAAGACAAACTTAATAAACAATCTTTGTTTTGGCTGTCAAAAATGCAGGGCTTTTCCTGATTTTCTCAAAGAAGTGAATTCAAAATGTAAAACAAGTCAATTTCAAAAATTAAATTTCAAACCCAAAAATTGGCCAATCTTGTAAAATTACAGCAAAAACTTTGTTTGTCACTGCAGCATAATTACATGTAGGAGCAATAATTCCACGTAGATGTACATGCACATGTACAGTGTACATAACACATGTGCATGTATCACGCTATCACAAATTCACAATTTTTGAATATCCCAAACACTTATGAAAAGGGTTGCATGATGATTTCGGGGGCTACAAAAAGGGGTTCAATACTAAATGGGGGGGAACAATTTTTTGAAAGTACGGTAAACTTGTTTGTTTTTGTTACGCCCCAACTATAGGCTGCGGTTCGGCTGGCCCAACTGTTATTGGCCAAAAGGTAGAAAATTTCTCAACCTTCCCCGAGTTTATACAGCTCACACTTGGCATACATGTACATCATGTAATTTATCTAAAATATGCCACTTCATTATAGGCCTACATGTAAAACTCATTTCTGCAAGCACGAGTTGCTGATGCAAACAAAATGACTCTGGCATGAACCATTTTGCTGTAGTTGGACTGGCCCAATTTTGACACTATAGTTGGGATGGTCCCAACTATAGTTGGGCCAGTCCCAAGTTCCCAGCTGGAGCTGGGACTGATCAGCTGATGCTATATTTGGGGTATACATATAACAGACATGTATTGGACACTCAAAATTTGCGGTCCAGTCATGCCATTGCCAGTGTGATTCTTTCTAAATTTAACTTTATCTGTTTGTATCACCACAAAATGACAAAGTCACACAACTCAACTTTTTTCTAATAGAAACTTTTTTCTACCTGGGCTAGGGCTGTCTCGACGTCTCCTTTAGCGTATCAAACTTGTGAACGCAGCAGACAGCAGCTGTAATCAGTCATTGCCAGCCTGTGCTGGACGACCTCTCACAACCACTGACAACCGCACCCGTTTAAAATTACACTCACTCAATCTTGAGTCACACAGAAATCTCGCCGCAAACAAGACCCCTTCGCATAACATCTAAGGGGCTCCCTTTTTGTTGGCTAGCCAATTTTTGCTTACTAAATTAACTGTCCTTTTTGTAGTCTATAAGAACTACCCGCAACCGCCAATGAGCCTGCACTACACCAACCACGTAGCGTACGTACATGTACATACATGTACTAGCGCCTTCATGTACCTAATACTGCACAACGATCTCTCCACACGCACTTGTGTGCACTCCATATTGAACCAGAAAATAGCAGTTCGATCAATTTCTGATACTTGTCAATCTTACCGACCAAAAATAGCTCGATATACCCGAAAAATGCCCAAAGTTTGCTTAAAAGTTTTCTGGAAGGATAAGAGGTTTCCATGCAGTCATTGCTGACCTAGAATCTTACCTGCAAAAGCGGTAAATCGAAGTTTTTCCAGTACTGAAACATCGACGAGATGTTGGCCGCAGCCATGTTGATCGATCACTGAACAAAGAAATCAAACTCGCACATTTCGTGCACGAAATGCATTGGATGAACGATATACGAAGCCTGTATGCTGAGATCATGCACAGAAAAGGAGCTGCCGGCGCTTGTACAGGCAGAACAGGCGTCGACCATTTTTATTGGAGGGGTCACGCAAGATAATTGATCATCCGTAGAAAATAGTAATCATTATGCATTTTGTGAAATTGAGTCACACAAAATGCAAAGTAAACAATCTTTTTTAAATATTAATCTAGATACTTTGAAGATATCTTTCTTGTTGAACGTAATTTGCTTCTTTTTCATATTGCGGTATTGCATTGTATCGGGCAATCGGTGCCCAATCATTAATTATTATAATTTGTACGACGCGTGTGCAATTGGCTATTGTAACATCACTACTACTCCTTGATTGATCCCAGGCTGATGCTAATAACTCCAGATCATGAATTCTGGGAAGGAAAAGCAATTACCCTGGGCATATCACAATATAATCTAGATGGTACAATACTAGGATGAAATTTCGGAGGGGGGCGCATCTGGGGTGCTGGCAACTTTTTTCCCCGACAGGGCATGCACTGAGCATAAATTGACCGTGATCGCTGTTTCAAAATTGCAAATGCGGAGGGGCACGGTTCGCAGGGGGACGTTATCCCTTTAAGGCAGTGCGTTAAATACCTTAGTAGTTTGGAAGGTCTTCAGAAATTTGGATTTCGTTTATATGAATTTCAACTAAATATTCAACTTTTTTATCCGATGAAAATATTGTATCTAAAATCCACAAAAAAACGGAAATTGAAAGCAACGATGCAGGCATCAATTTTGTATCATTTTTTTTTAATTTGTTCAAAAAGGTCCTGGTAGTTGAATCTGCCCGAGACTTGCACAAATTAAGGGCTGTCTTCAGCACATTTTAGCTCGCTGTACCTGGACGTATCTATCCCAATATGCATGGTGAAATGCCCCTGTTCGAAACAGAGTGCATGCTTCACAGGAAAAGTGTGTATCCACTGACGATACTTTAACTTTAAGAGCTATAATTTTAAAATTGGTTTGCATGATTTGTAGTGTATTTGTCTCAATTAAAGGTCGTGTTATTGAATTTTTTCCATACTCCTAAAAGGTTTTTATTTTGAGACAAAAAAGCGCAAAGTTCTCCTACTCAAACTTAAAGGGTAGCTACAATGCAATTTTTCAAATACAAACTTCCAAAATGCACTTTTATATGTCAATTGACCTCGTTTCAAATACGAACTTCCAAAATGCACCTTTATATGTCAATTGACCTCGTTTCAATTTTTTTTTTACACTGTTTAAAGGGTATTTTGCTGCCTTTTTTATTTTTATGCTAATAAGTATTCCATCTTCATGAGAACAAATGTGGTGTCATCCCAGGAAGAGTAGCTCAGTGTTGCATTGGTTTGTGCTAGCCTCAGTATAAGTACACAGAAATAAGGAAACATACAGAGTTTTCTCAGAAATGCTTTCATTGTATTAATTTGAACAGGACAACGTCATTGAAACATGTCTTCCCTTGATGACATCGCAGCAACAGCGCCCTCAGTTGGCCAGCCAAGCATGGGTAATTTTTTATTTTAAAAACTTGCCCTTTTCAATTAATTTAACGAAAAGGGATGTGAAATAATTTTTATACATTACAGAAGAGTATAAAATTGCAGAAAAATGGGATATAAGAAGAAGTCATTGCTGCTTCACTGACTTTAACTTCCCCGCCGAATTCACTTTTATTGTAACGCCGCATGCGGGCCCAGTTGGATATGATGAGCTTGCATTAATGTTGAGGGTTTTTAAAGATGTCAGCAGGTGGTTCTTTAAGGGGCGTATACTAACTGTTGCACCTGAAAGTGACCATATTCTCATCCTCATTGCCTAAATGACAACGACACATCATCACCAGTCGAATGGAAAATCACCGTCAGGAATGTGAAAGATTCGATAAAAGCGAATTTTAAGTTTTAGATAAATAAAACTGATTTCACCATTGCAATCGAGTACAGGCACTGCAATCATATGCCTATTCTATCTGTTCTGAAGTACACGTAGTGAATGCGTTGGTGCCAGTTAGTACTTCGCTTGTCACCCAGCGCTCGAACAGGGCTCTGGGACGCCGGCTGATGGCCTTGCACGGATTTTTAATTTTATAGTGACTCAAGGAAATACGCACACGGGGTACCAGGCTCAATCCGGTACACAAGTGTTGGTTATCAACTCAATGTTTTTCTTCCGCATTGCTGAAATTATCCTCATTACACTTCACTTGTTCTTCCAAAATTGATCAAGACAACCAATGATTTGAAATATATCGCCAAAAGACACGTAGTCAATGAAATTTAGTGACAAGATAAATTACCGCCATTGTTCCAAGGCCATGTTTTTATCATGCCGACACAATACACTGTGCCGTAGCATTGCCATTGGCTAACCAAAAACTTAAAAATAACGCTAACTGAAAAGTGGAAGTGATAAGCCCGAGGTCGGAAGGCGTGCACAAAGTAACAATCACGTACACTGAGTGAAAAACCATCCCAGCGGCCCTGTTCCGGCGCAGAGCGCGGCGACGAGCGAAGGTTGGTGCGAGCTCAATGAGCGTTGTGAATGAGACGAGGGCGTCCTTTATTTTTTGACTCAACAATTTTGTTTCCGTTTTGCAATGTGTAAATCAAGTTATACACAAGGTCATTAAATCACGAAAGATTTATGACCACAAGAATTGTCCATGGGGGTGCAGGCCGGTAAATGCATTCAAATTCTCTACAAATTAGAGCATTTTGTGGCCCATGAACTTGAATATTTGTAGAAAAGACAGGTTTAGGAAAGGAAAACGTATACCAGCTTGTGTGTGACTCAGATTTGGAAGAAATCTGTGCCTGAAAACGGTCTTTTTTTCGAGAGTTGTAGGCATCGATATTTCAAAATCGCAAGGGGCTGCACAACTGCTTTTTAAGGATGACTTTCCGTGGGAAAAATATCTTCAAAAGTCATCGATTAATAAATGAATATTTGAACTTGAAAGAAAATGAAAAATCCTAAAATGGGCTTTGATTTGATGTGTGTTTCGAACACCCGAGAAACTCATGAGTATTTTTCCTGATGTTTTTAAGTTCAGGTATTTATCATCACTGTTGGTTGTGGCAGTTTATTTAAGTTACTGGCCAGCAACCGTGAAGAGCTATAGCTGTTAAGTTGCGACATGAGTATCTCAATTATTGGAACCAAATTGATGGATTAGACGCCAGTGCACATGGGCAATTAACACGTAATACTTAATTGCATGCTCTCCTGCACACATAATGAACAGTTAATTTGGTTAGAATGTAAAGTCTTAAGTTTGCTCTTCATGGAGGACGAAAAGCGGCCATCTGCTGTTCTGCTATCAGAATAGTAGAAAAGCTTATTTTTAACCTCAAAGGAAGATTGACCATTTTCCACTTTTCTGCTACTTCAAAAGTAGTCTGTTTTCCTCTTTTTGATGGCGGTCGAAAAGTGGTCACTGATCTGCTTTTCAGTGTCTTCAATGGGCCGGACGGTGAATGGGGGTCATGAACCTGTAGGTTATCACCATTTCCGTTCTGGGGGGAGTGCAGACGTATTTAATCAGCCACGCTTTCTGCGGACCAATCTCATACGACAGTATCAGTGTCCCTGTGAGAGCAAACAGCATCTCAAAGGAAATACGGCTTACAGCTATGGACACATAAGCTTGCTTGGTCCAAGGAAAACATGTGAATCTTTCATTACAAAAGATAGGTTTGACTGTAATTATTGGCTTATACGTCTTCCATCCCCAAGAAAATAAATGGTCATAACCGTGAGGTTCACGACCCAATTCATGACCCTTGGAAGGCAGAAAACCAGATGGCCACTTGTCGGCCGCCTATGTAAAATTGCTCTTCCGGTATAAAAAAGTAGAATTCCCGGTTGTTGTCAAAACATTCGATCCTCATTTCTGCCTGTTAGAAAGGAGAAAAGCAGACGGCCGCTTTTCGGCCGTCAGCGAACAAAGACAGAGTAAAATCTGCCTTTTTGAAGCAGAGAAGCAGAAAAACAGAAAAAAATGCACAACTAAATAATGTTCATTCGGCTTTTTGAGGTGGCAGAAAAGTAGAAAAGTCGAAATTGCATGTTACCAGAACATAAAATCTGCTTTTCTACTACTCTGATGGCAGAAAAGCACTTTTCGTCCTCCATAGGCTCTACTCCCCCCATATACAGTCCACAGCAGCTATATCCAGCTTTTGGTGAGGGGCCCGCGGATTTAAAAGCGAATGCGGATGCAGCTCATTCAAAATGATATTGGGGGGGGGGAAAGAAATCACTGTTTTATTTTCTTAGGGTCTTGGTGCCGACATTTGATAAATAAATTTACCAATTACTTTCTTTCCTACTCCCCTATGAAGTATGATTTGTGAAAACAAATCTGTCGGGGGACCCCCCCCCCGATACGCCACGGCATACTACAGCTCTGGGTCTAAATGGGTCAGTGTTGTATCGTTTTTCAAATTCGTTTCGACATATTGTGATTGTTACCATTTTATTACACGGAGCATTATTCCCATGCATTTGTCTCCATGTGGTTCTCGAACCAAGGAAGTGTTCAAACTTCATAGTGACGCGTTTTCAAAACAACACTTCAAAAAATTCCTCATGGTGACCATGAAAAGGGGACACATTTGAGAAGGAAAGGGTGAACAATTTGGCCATCTCTGCTCAAAATTGACAGCATAATGATGGCTCACATTATTTAGGCTATGAGTTTGTCTTTTACATTAATTGTTCTCTCAATTTAGGCTGGAAAAGCCAGGTAATCAAAAATAATATTTGGTGTGAGATTTTAGTTTGTCATCTTCATGGTTACTGGGCGGAAGTTACATCAATCAAGTTACATCCAGATTCCTGATTGACTACTGAGCATGCAAGCTGCATAATACTGCACAACGATCCAATTTCATTTCCACATGGGCATCATAAATCAAAATTAAATCTGGATACTAGCCCATCAAATTTAATTTGGCCTTGTGACAGCTTTCCGTTCGTTTGCGATGAAAACGGCACAAGCACCACTTTCACAGAGCGAACTTCCCCTAAGTTGAAAGCTAGTACAAGTAATAAATCAGCCCACTGTCTTGGGGTGGTCATGACATGCAGTAAATGAAGAACCTGGGCTGTACATCACCAATATGTCAAAAATAAAGACCACTGCTTTGTCTGAGTCAAAACTACACGAAAGGGCTTACATGTACTTGTAGTCTCAGTGGTATTAGCTAGCGTATCGCAATTTTTCCAGACCTTTACTCAGAGTTGGAACACGATGGTCGAATGCAAGCTGTACACGTACCTGTACATGTACATGTATATGTACGTATACATGTATGTATAATCATGGAGGTAGCTCTTTGATCTTAGCTTTTGTCGAAGTTTCTTTGGGTAAGCTATCAAGACTGAAACGAAGATATCATGACCTAACCAGAATTCATATATACACATAGCTATATCAAATCATGGAGGAATAAAACACATGATCAAATTTATCATAACTTTGTACACATGTAGCTGGTCTGGGTACTAAGGCAGGTAAACGCTGATACAAACTTTCAGATGCAACGTATCTTTTGATCTTACTGAAATACAACATTTCGTACACGTTTCACGTTTTTTCTCTTGCTCTGTGTTTTTGCTTTGTAAAAACCGACTATATTGGCAGTACTGGTATTGTTAGCGTGTTGCTGGAGGATCTACCTAGTACCTGGGGACAAAGTTAAAATGCTGACTTACCTTAAATAAAATGGTCGAGGCCATACCATTAACGCGGCACTTTCGCAGCTAGGCCCTGCACTAGAACGTTGGGATTGCACATCGACGTCAACATGGCGGCTTTCCCTGACGAAGATTTGAGACTTGAATTGTGGCGGAAAAGTTTGAATGCTCACCCAGTTTTTGAGAGCTTAAGAAGTTATGACAAACATGAGCCTCAGAGAACAGAACCAGAGAATCTGTTGGTGGTTCAGGAGGGCCAGTTGTTCGCTTGGGACAGTGGCGAAAGTCGACTTTTAACCATGAATTTGAAAGACTTGCTTGATTATATTCATGCAGACGACGTCCACTCGTGCAACAGAAGACTTCAGGAAGTCCAGGCTTTTCAGGTTATTAGATTCGTGATATTTCAGTTTTTCCCGTTTTAAATCCTGCCAAGTACTGGTTACACGTTGCTCATTCATGTCATTATCATTAGCACCCTGTTCCTATAATAAGGAAACAAAATCTACTTTTTTGAAACAACTTGGGCCTAGGGTTAGCGCAGGCATCTGGCAGGTGGACTCCGTGACCGTACTACCTTACGCGACGGAGGGCGTTCAGGGTTTAAAGGGCGCAACATCGGGCGAAAAATTTATTTTGTAACTAACATTTGCAACATTTCTACCTTTTCCAAGGAGCCAATTTCACGTCTGTAACTCCTATGCGTCTGTATCTCCACGTCTTGTGGGATAAGAAATTCGACACATCACCACCAAAGACAAAAAAATGAGAAAAATAAAGTCGGACGTACATGTAGGCCTTACTTTAATTCATGCCATTGTTGAGGACTATTTTCAGCCATTCTCCAGTGCAGTTCATACAGTGTGTGGGCAACTATTTGGCATACGGATTCCGAGCCGTGTACATGAACATCGAAACTACATGTTCTTGGCATCTATGCCGAGTACAGACAACATCGGGCCGGTGGGAGCGGAAGCAAGGCTGTAGCGTGCGTTGGTGACAGTTGGCTTATTTATATGTACCTGCACGCAAGCTGAGTCTACTACGGCCTGTACAGGAAAGTTAAAATTCACGATTTATACAAATCCTGGCCATTTTTGAGCATGGACATGTACATGTACATGTATTATGTGTTAACAGCTGGACTTAAAGGTGTCCACAAAATTTGACAGAAGTTAAGGGACCCGGCAGTTCATGATCCGTGTCGAGGGGAGAGGTTATTATCCATCATCTAAAATACAACTCATCACTGCCAATTACATGTACCAGTTCAGTCTGCTTATTGTATGTCTAGTATACGAGTAACAAAAGGAAAGGCTTATCAACAGCTCAATTTGTGAATGATCACTACCTACCGCATGTGCGCGGGCCATATTACCTCTGCATACTGTGTTCCTGATTAGTATAAGTATCGTTCTCACCTGTTCATCACGATCAAATTGCCTGCAATGTAATTTTCTTTTAATCCTCAATTATCAAGATAAGTTACAGTTTACTTTTAATTAAAAATCGCATTCTCTGCAATATTGTGTATTTATACATCTTTAACCGATAAAACTCTTCAAACAAATTAAACATGTTAAACACTTCAAAAAGAAATCGTTGATGAACTTCTTCCCGTACAGCTACATGTACCTTCTATGCTAACCGAGGTTATTCTAATAAAATAGCAGGTTGTGTCAGAAATTTATGTTTATAAATCGAAAATTAAAGCAGAACAAAATATGAACATTTTAGAGGTAACCAATAGCGGGTTAATTGGTCAGTTTGAAGCCCTGATACGACAAAACGGAACTGCATTTTTTATATCGGCTTGATGGCAGACGGGTTAATGCCGGGTACCAGTGACAGCCTCCGTGTAGAAGGTGAGCAACAGAAAATCGCGCACGCATAGTGCGTGTACGCAGCTCGGTTTCCTGTACGTGCGTGCACTTAACAACTAGATTCGAGAACGGATGAATTACATCTACAAAAGTAACGTCTCCCACTTATTTTCCTTGATTTTGCCGTCCATGGTGCGTTCTGAAATTCTTAAACCCCCCAGACAAATAGATAAGGCCATGGAGAACTTACAAACATGAAAATACGTTTCTTCAACAAGGTAAATCAAGAACAAATTAGAACCAATTTTGAGGTCTTTTGTACACTAATTTTATACCCTGGACGTCAGTCGTAATGAAATGCAGGTAACGTCCAATCTAGGCTAGGCTTAGGGCTAGGCCTGCTTCTTAAATAAGTTGGCAGTGATGTCCTCTTTCATTATATTATCAGAAAGAAGAAAAGGAAGGGCTTTGATTTGGAGGGATTATTATGGGGTAAAACGGCAGCGTAATTGACCCGATGAAGAGCTGTGAAAAAAGATGAATTAGCTCATGTACATGTATGATGTAGTGTGGTTCCTTGACCTGGATGAAGTTTCTTTTGTAATAATTCAGTATATCCACAATGGCTGGGAATGATGGCTGGGTCGGCTAGAACTCTGGTAAAAAGAGTCTGCTTTTTTTGCTTACATATTGTCAAACTTTACCTAACATAGACCTACTAGGAGTAAGGAATAGATCCTCAAGGTCTGAATGTTAGTAACATGTAATTTGAAAAATTATAGCAACAGGGTGCTAAACGTAATGAACATTGGTTATACCCTCACTGGATGATGATGCCTAGCGGCAATGTCCAGTCAATAGTCTGAGATTCCAAGGGGTTAGAGTTAGGCCAACATGTATAGGCCTATCATAAATGTTACCTGTTGCCATGGTCGCAGTGGTTTATTTGTCATCATATCAAAATGTGATAACATGTCTTGACAAGTTAAATTTGCAGAAAATATTGAACGTGTTGAAGCATTTACATGTGCTGTAATAAGCATGCTTCATGCTTAATCGAAAAAACACTTAGAATTTTTCAGATCAGTCTTAAGTTGGTTTATGCGCAGTGTCAAGTGATGTCCAAATACATTATTTACATGTAATATGGAACTCTACTTGCATGTACATGTAGTTATCCTCCTTTACCAATACTGGATTGTGCACCGGTATTGATTGCGACTCAGGGAAGATGTAGAACTCTTCATGATTGGTTTATTCAGGAATGACTTGTTTTTTTTTGCTTCTTTGTACATGTACATGTATGTAATTATTTGAGCTAAAAGCATTAGTACTGTAGGTAAGGTGAAGCAAATATTAGCCATATGAAGATGGATGTCTTACATGTATGATTTGCTAAATTACATGCACATGTACATGTAATATCACAGCCTGAAAATTCAGCGCATAAAATTTCAATAATCAAATCATGAAATCTTGATATCAAAACAAACATTGTATTGCAGAAGCTCCTGTGCACCAATACACCAAGGTTTGATATTGAACATATTGAGCTGAGTACAACGGGTCGTCATGTTTTGCTATGGGGTACCAAAGGTGCATCGGTGATGACTCTACCACGACGTCATGGACAATTTGGACAGTTTGAGGGTGGAAAGGAACAAATCAACTGCAGGTACTAAATCTGCTAAGTGCATGCCAGCTTCCTTTGAAAACTCTGTAAATTTAAACTGAGTAATGAATGTCATATTCATCACTGACAATCACAACTTACAATGGCACTGGGCATTTGTTTTGTAGGACGGTGATCTTGGCAGAGAGATTTTTCATGTCAAGTGGGACTCTGCGTTTGCTTCAAGCTGCCTGGTATCCAGGAAGTGATTCAGACATTCATGTGGTACTTCTTACCTCTGACAATACATTAAGGTAAACACTCAACTGTTATCAGTTTTACCCCTGATTGGTGAGGCTATGGTTATTCCTGGATTGATGCGAGTTTCTCAGTAAAACAGCTTCATCAAAGTTTGTCAAGCTCATCAAAGTTTTGGCTTGTCTTATCACTTTTGATAGCTTGTAAAAGTTTGGGTGGCCACCTATGTGCTTTAACTTGTCAATGATTTAGTGGACTCTCTATTCATTGGCTAGCTAGCTTGGCACAGTTTTGGGGGTAGACACAACTATATGTACCACTTGCTACGTACTGTACACACATGTACATGTAGCCAATCCACACTTAGGCTAATGCTTCTATCATTTGTCAAAGCATACAGCAAGGAACAGAGGTTAAGGTTGGAACCAACCAGGCTTGGGCGAATCCATGCTGAAATCAGGTAGAATCGATTCCAAATTTGGAATTGGAGTCGCGATTCCATGTTTTGAGGAATCGAAATCTCGCCACTGCCGATTCCATAACCTTGAAATCTGATTCCAGGAACAGTCCAGCGATTCCAAAAGACTGCCATATAAAATGATCCGTTGATTTTTGAAAAAATGTGTTTTTATGCCAAATCAAGGAACCTAAACTGCGCGGCCTTATTTTCGCTGCCAAAACCTGAAGTGTGTGACGAGATGTGGCCCACATGCTTTGCAGAGTCACAGCGTCACCGTGCAGTACTCCGACCCATTTGTCTGCAGCATGCTGATGACCAACTGTTGGCTGGATGCCAATTGTGATTCCTTAACATGCTGAGCGATGAAAACTACATGTACACGTGTACATCTGAGTTTTTCCCACACGCCAAATTCCTTGCATTGAAATTTCTTGTCGCTGATTACCCTTTATTTCTTGGTGGAAACTCAGTTGTAAGACCTGAAGGATTGACACCAAGTAGAAACTCATTCCTTGGAGTTTATTACTTCCAAACAAAATCTTCCACTGGACCAACGCCGTGTTGTAATCTTTAAGATCGAAGCAAACTGTGGTGGAAAAAGTAGGCCTACGTGTACTTTGTCACCATATTACAAATATTTGCTGAGAACTGCAAGAAAAAACCTAAACAATGCAGCCCTTTGTCCGATATTAATTCTTCCTTTACCGTGAAATACTCCAAATGCAAGTAACTGTTGAAGCATTTGAAAATTCCCATGATGCCAGCTTTTGGAAAATTACCCAAATCCCACAAACCTTGACATAAAATCAGCGATCCGAAGTTATTTAAAGTCAAACATTTCCAGGGTTGTCAACTAAACTTAAACCATTCATAAGAAAGAGAAGCTGGTGAGATCGGCAATGGCATCGGCCCAGGTGTAGATTTGTGTTCAAATTCATGCATGTTTCCAATAGTCCTGCATGCATCGACCGCTCTCCATTGGTGCACGGACGTGCGGACCTGTGGCTGTGAGCCGACTGCAAGCGTTTGTTTCTTTGCAGATGCTTTGCATTTGAGTCTGTGAGATATGCACCATGATAACCGTCATTTACTCTGCCAAAACACAAATCTTTGACTACTTTTCATCCTTCATTTCTGTCATAAAGAAAAGAAATTGTACTCAATCTGTTGAGTGAATTGAAGGTCAAAATAATGAGCAATTCTCAAAATTTTCCATCTCCACCTTGGAACAAGACTAATGGCCATGCGTTGAAGCTGGTAGCAGGCATACACATAGGAAGAATGTAGCTTTAGGCATGTTCACCAGCGATTGCACGAACAGGCCGCTGACGCAAGTGGTGCTGTGCGGTGCATGAGCAGTCTAGTTTTTGATGGAATTTTCAATCGAAAGATCAAGAAAACTATCATATTTCATCGTCGGTGGAATAAGGTCACATATTCTTGGACTTTAAGGAAAAAATGTTTCTTCAGTATGTTTTTGGCGGCATGAAAATAAAGGTACATACCTTATGTTATCTTAAACTGGAAAACTTTAAAGCTGGCAGGCTACGTAGATTGATAATCTTTTCCTATAAGTGATGTGCTTCCATCAAGTTTTAAAATTTCTGATTTAAAATCTGTAATGATAATAAATCTTTCATGTTTCCGATGCAATAACAGGGGATAATTTTTAATGACACGAGTGTTTAGGAAACAATTTACAAGTGCATTTTGCATGTAATCTCGGGTATACTGAACATGGCATTCGCACATGTAAAAATAAGAATCGATTCCAAAATGCTGGAATCATCCAACACTACAATCAACTAGTTTGTTTGAATAAACACTCCTATCACTTGCTAGTTTGATAGAGATTAAGTTGATAGCAGTGTATGTGCAGTGTTTATAAAGAAATTACATGAACAAATAAGTCTTCAGAACTGGTGTTTTCTCAATTGTCAGGGTCTACGACGTCACTTCACCCCACAAGCCAATCCAGTGTCACCGACTAGGGGAATATTCCACCAGTTACTCACTGTCAGCCAACAGGTCAACATTTGAAGTGGCCTTAGGGGACATAGCTGTGGCATTTGACTTTGGACCAGTAATGGAAGAACCAACAAAAATTGAAAGTAAGAACAGTTACCGGTACAAAGTTGCCACTGATGGGTTATAAGAAATATTCAGGACACTGGACCTTTTCCTTTGCAAGCAGGTTTACATCTTGTTCCTCGTATCTGTGTTCTAAATTTTTTTGTACTGTTTAATGTGATGGTATCAAACTATTTTAGGGGATTTTTTGGTTCCAAGCTTCTCCTTTTTTGGCTTGCATGAAACACCAAGTATACATCAGAAATTTCATTTCACTTAGAGTAGACATGCAATAATTCGTCATGAAGTGTCATTTTATTCCTTCATTGATGCCCTAAAGTGTAAATAAATTATAAATTTTCTAGGCAGGAATGTCAAATAGATAAGGGGGGTTGACCGACAAAACGTTATTTCATTGATTTCATTGAACAAAAATAACAAGCAAGGATACAGCAAGTGCACTGGGTACAGTTAGTTGTTGAAATATTCAAACGGAGGATTGAAAGACGTATGTGTGCATTTTTTCCCCGGATTTTTCATTTTCCTCATTTACCCGATATTGACAGTTGCAATTTTACTCAAGGGGCCCCGAACAAGACAAAGAAAGGGCACAGTTTTCCTACTTCCTTTGGTGGGAAATGTACTTCCCTGGTTCACTATGAAATACATGGTGCGGTTGTGTTGCTGTTAACTAAATGAAGACCGACTCCCTACCAACCAATGAGGTGCTGCTTCTGGTTGAGGCCGATAGCCATCTTGGAAGGCTATAGAGACATATAATTAAATTGAAAAACAACCTGCTTTCTTTCTATATATCTTCACAGGAAGATCTAATGCTCCACCTCCACTCCTTTACCCAGTCTACATCTTGAAAGGCAATGGAGATGTATTTCTTCTCAAGACAAGTTTATCTGAACCAAGGTACAGGTAGGACTGTGCCCTCTGTGGTAACTTTGTTAGGTTCTTGTGATTATAAATACCAAAATGACAGAATGCCAAGAATTTTTTGATACATTTTGGCTACTTTGTGTTCTGCTACCCTTTTCAAACTTAAAGAGCACCTCTTAAAGTAAAGCATGTTTTCTCTTATTTTATCTGTTCAAATAAATATGGAAGCGTCCAAATTGAAAGCAGTGTCAGTTGTCTTCAGAGCTCAACTATAACAAGCTTACAAGGGCTTTTTTCTCTCCATGCATGTCATGCCAAGATGGGAATTCTAAATGTAGATTGCGTCATTTACAGAAAATGAGGGGAACTCTTGCCCTGTGTTCGTAGTGGATAAACCCTTGTGCATGCCAAACAATGGCTACGTGCATTATTTGGAGGTGCTCTTCAACATTTCTGTAACAATTCTGATGATTTTTTGGAGGAAAAGTGAAGACAGAACGAACATCACCATGTCTAATCTGTTTCTCTGCACAAGTTCTGATTATTGTTTCTATAAAATAAAAAATCCTGTTTGTCAAATAATTAAACCATGCAATTTTACTTTTTAATGTTTCTGATCTTATCAATTTGTGTTCTTTCATTCTAGATATGTCCATACCAATCTACAAGGACCTCTGACTATGCATCCACCTGCTGAAGATAACTATGGCCTGGATGCTTGTAGTATACTTTGTCTTCATACTAGCCCCATTGTACTAGTGGTTGCAACTTCTGGTGGTATACTACATCATTGTATTGTACTGACAGGGGATGATGAAGATGACAATGATAATCATGTGAGACGCTTCAAATGTTTACTTTAGTCTTAAAGTCAGTTGGCATTTATGCCCAAAAATCATTTAGCGCCTTGAAAGATGGGGAACTTCACCATGAATAAGCGTAAAACATTGTTATCACTTGGGCGCCATTCTGGTTGGACTATGCCTGCGCAGTGCCGTTTAATGCACAGGTGCAGACGCTGCAACAGGCACACACACACACATTCACACTCGAATAGTGCCCATGGTGATAACACCTTTATGGCCGAATTACCCATCTTGCGCCGCTATGGGGCGCTATACAATCTTTGTTTATGCCCATATCTTTTCTGAATCCTACAAAATCAGCTTTGTGTAAGAACCTAGTAAGAGATTTTTTGTACTTAACTTCAAGGGGGCATCAGGCATTATGTAAAGTACTAAAAAAAATGACTTGTCTTTACATTCCTGACTCTGGCAAAATATTCCAAAAGTTTTGGGTGGATGTAGGAGTTGATAGGGTAAAGAGGAATCAAACTTCAAAGCCCGTACTGCAGTAACATCTAGCTAGAGAGGGATTTAATGTTGATTTTTTCCAGTCATAAAAGCTTTAAGACATAGAGTTAACTAACAGAGTTAACTATCAATGGTTAGAAAAATTCCCCCCAAAGTGAGAGGTTCCGTCTTTCTATTAAAAATTCACATCTAAAACAGAACAATTGTGTAAGTAAAATTTATCACCATCTGAGTTATAACCAGGAAAGTTTTAATTTTATTTTTAGTCTGTAACCTCGGCCTCCATTTCGGATATTGGTAGTGTGCGAGGCAAGTCAGATTTTGCTTTGTACGTGTATGAGAGTGTGGAGTTATCGCTTACCGTATTATCGAAAGATTATCCAGAGGATACTGCCTACCCAATTCTCCTGCACAAAGGTGAGTATTGTCAAAACATCAGCTTATCTTTGCTGGAATTGTACATGTGTGTATATTTCTGGTTCTTATTAAATTCCTCTCAGTAGGAGGTTGACCACTTTTACTTGTCATATACATTTATGAGTCAGGATGGAGCAGCACGTAGCACATTTTGAGAATGTATTAATTTGATTGCATTCTTTATTTCCAGATCCCTCATCCCCATGCCAATATTACTGTTCCCACAGTGCAGGTGTGCATTGTGTAACCTTGTCCTGGCTACAGAAACTCACACATTACTGCTCATCTGGTGAGAAAGAGAGTTATTATGATAATCACATTGTGTACTTCAGGGGTGGGATTTTCCCGGATTTCCGGAATTTCTTTGAGACTATCTGGAATTTCTGTGAGACTTTTTAGATTTCTGTATTGTCAATGCTTTCAATATGTAGCACAAAGACTACAATTTTTGGTGCGAATCTAAGCGAAAGACTTGCACAAGTTTACATTTAGGCGTATAGCATGCACTTTTGCATTGTTACTTTCCCTGGAAATGCGCCAGATACGTAGGTAATAGTACACTGAACGGATCAGGTATCATTGTTAAAACATAGGGACCTAGGCCAGTGGTATGATCGTTGTGTGTATGTACATTTACATGTACTGTACGCACTGTACATGTGTGTGTGTGTGCGTGCATGTATGCACAGTACACGTGTTGTCATTGCATGCACTGTGGACAACTTGCGTCCGTCTGCCATCGCGTTTCGTTTCATTCTAGTGGTGGTCTGATGTCGTCGACATCCATCAAAAATGTCATACAAGGTAGTAGGTAGGGAAGGGGATTTGAATGTAGACAAAGGATTAAAGAATTTTCCTGGCTGGAAACCGAGGTGGACAGACAATTAACCAAGGGGAAATTGATATATTATCATGACTTTCTCGTGAAAATCGACAAACCTTGGTACTGCAAGTGCACGTGGTGTCACAAGTAATGCAGTACTCATCTGTATGAGACAGTTTTCAGGTTTAATTAATTGTGATAGAATTTTGTGGATCACTGTGTGTGTGTATTACACTTCTTCTAGGGCTTTGATTGTCACCAATTATACATGTAGCTTACATGTATAATTGCAATTGAAATAAATGAGGACAAGGGTTTTGTTGCAGTAAATGTTATAATTGTATCCCTCAAAGTAAGAACAGCTCTTGTGGTGATTTACGTGTAGTACCTGAATCTCCTCCTATACCCAAATAGATATGCCGCGAATTGTAGGGAAGCTGTGGCTAACACGACTTGCAAAACCCTCCAACGAATGATTTGGGGATTTTTCATTTTCCCCAAATCACACCCCTGGTACTTGTCCATAGACTGGATCGTCCTTGGCCCGACTTCCAACTGTTCTTTTAATGCAGATTATAAATCCGCAGTACCGGTACAAGAACCAAGAGGACATTGTTGAATGAGTTGATGTGGTCAAATCCACAAGATGACACAAGTCCACTACAAGTCTATTGGTTTTAAGTCATATTGCAAGGTATTCAACTAAATTAAGATAATAGGCATCTTTTGGTTTTGTTCATTCCTAGTAAACATTGTCCAGGCTGGTGACTTAACTTGTGATGGACTTTACAACAATAATGTGAAAAATGTCAGCTACATATTGTTTTATCAATCAAGATAATTGTTTTGTTTTTCACTTTTAGAATATGAAGGGAATGAAGAAGGTTCAGTCATGGATGTTGTCAATCAAGATGAGTCATGCACAGTAGCACATATGATATGTACCAAGCCTTCAGAATCATGGTAAGCATGTTAACCTTAAAAGACATAGTTTGTTGGTCTTGTAGACAACAAGAAAGTCACAGGCATGCTAGCTTGAATCACAGACTGAAATCTTCCTACTTCTGTTGCGGGCATTCCAACCGGACTGTAAAATAAGCTAGAGTGGCCTAGCTGAATAATGGTATTCAAGCTAGAGTGGCCTGGCTGATTGATGGTATTCAAGATGATGTATGAGATGACACCAATTTGGTTGCATCCACATTCATCATATACATTCTAGTCCATAAGGGTTGTACCTGTACATCCATGGGTATAGAAACCTACACCTGATTATTGCATTTTTTTCATTCAGTCCACCTGCACCCATTCTTGGTTTGACTGTGGTAGCTGATCACCTACTGGGTCAAGCTTTGCTGTGTCGTACATCCACCAATGATTGCATTGTTACTCCGCTCAAGTAAGTACTAGACACAAACTAACATGACTATTGTGGGTTGGGCCCCAAAAAACAGATGCTGTAGATTTAGCCCTAGTGACAAAATTACTCTTACTTGCACACTGCCTGTTACCCATGCAGAATCCCCAAAAATAAACTCACAGTCTTGCTTGTTGAATCGGTCACGCTTGGAAACAATACATAACTCTTAGTACATACACTTGTTTGCCCAAAAATTGCTTTTTAAAAATAGTTTAAACAATGTTTTTAGAGTGGGGAAGTCTTTATTTTGTTCATATAGATTGA